TATTAAATACGCTCCTGAGAAGTGCACACAGGCGAGCGCTCGCGGGCGCTCGCGGACGCCCGTGTTCAATTTTAGCGTTTTGCCGACCCCTGGTTTAATTCACGTTGCGAATTAAATCTATAAAATAGTGTATATATTAAGTGTGAAAGAATAAATTTGCGTTCGTGCTTGAAGCTAATTCTTGTTCTACGTACTTTATTTGTTCCTTATTTGTTTCTTGCCGCTTTAAAACATTCAATCGCGCACACTTTTTATTTTATATCTTTAGAATTTTATTTAGTTCTTTTGTAGATTTGTAGATGACCAAGCTTGTTCAACTTTATTATAGTTTTTTCAATTTTTTAAGACACATGTTTGCGATTACCATCTCTTTGTTTTTTAAAACAAATTTTTTTTGATTATTGGGTTATCGGATAAGATTCTATTGGACTTTTCAATTATTATATAATACTCGATTATTTATAACGATTTTCATTTTGACATACTAAAGAATATTACATTCAAAGTCGAAACGTTTATGATTTTATTTTGTATTTTAAGTGATTGTAAATATATTATTATTAGCAATATCCTAGTTTGATTCATAGAGTTTTCTTATTTTACATTATAATAAATTAAAGTATTATATTAATAAATAATATAATACAAATATAATACAATACAAATAAATATAAATAAATATAACGTTTTCTTTTTAATGTACGAAATGTATAATATTTTGTTTCTTTTCTTCATCAACGCTCTCGAAAATTACAATTGTATATCAACTTTCGCCGGAACATTTTTGGACATTCAAGTTTGCCATTTTGGTTCCGTCATGCTGTTTTTAGTAATTTCGATTTCAGATTCGTAATCAACAACTTCGAAAACCCCAATATACCAATTTTTGTGTAAAATGCCAAATAATCTTTGATATTTTGATCAGTTTTTTGGATTTTGGATCTGTGCACCATTCCGAAGCTTGTTGGCTGGTTTGCATATCAAACTCATAAATCCATCTCGTCATCCGTTATGATGCGTTTCATGAATGTAGGGCTCCGAATTAGCTCAAGCATGTCTTCAGCAACTTATTTGCGGTTTTCTTTTTGAAGAAAATTCAGTTCCTTTGGAACAAATCGTGCCGCGATGCGTCTCATGCCCAAAATATCAACTAAAATGGTTCGAACGGATTTGTGAGACATGTCCAGATCTTGAGCTATCTCTCTTAAGCTTGAATGATGATTTTCCATCATCATTGTCTTTATTTTGTCGATATTTTCATCAGTCGAAGACGTTGAAGGTCGACCGAAACGAGGCAAATCTTCAACCACTTCTCGGTCTCCTTTAAATATTTTGTACTATTCGTATGCTTGAGTTTTGATAAAGCTGACTCACAATAGATCTTCTCTAATATTTTCAACGACTTAGCACAGACAAGAAATTTCGTTGACAATATAAAATTTGAGGAAAACTCTTTGTTCGATATTTTTATCCATTTTAAAAATCGCAGAACACACGAGAGATTGACTAACAAAATCAACAGTTGTAAACTAACTGGTTGACAAATGGCGCCAAAACTCTACGTGACAATTAGATATATGAGTACCAACTTACAACAAAAAATTTATTTTCATTCTCGGTATTTTTTGACAGAATGTAGATTGTTCACAAGAAATTCCTATTATCGTTTATCAAACGACGTACTGAAATGGCTTGATGCACTCTCAAAGATATTCGATAATTTCATTTTTTTTTTCAAATCAAATTAAAATTGTGGAAATATATTTTTCAAAAGTTGAACTTTATAAAATAAAGAATCGATGTTTTTTGTATGTCTCTACTTAACTTGATTTATATTATTGAGTATATTCATAAAAATTCATAAAAATATAAATTAAAATGAATTAAAATAAATATATATAATAAGGAATACGTAAAAACTGATGATTATTACGCAAAAGATGATTTGCGTAATAAATTATCGTATAAAAAAAAATTTTCATAATATAGTGTACAATTAAATTATTAAATTTAATTATCTCACAAATTAATATTACTTATTTATTTGCTTATTAGTTATAATAGATATTATATAATATTTATATTAATCTTCAAAAAAATTTATTTTGTTCTTCTAGGGTGTAACTTATCCCTGTATACACGCAATCTGGGCAAACTGGGCACCACCTTTAGAGAGATCTAAATTAGCCACAATAGGATTCTCTGGTAGTTTCTTCGGAACGGTGTTTGCCATGCCTATTGCCGGATTGATAGCCGAATATTGGGGATGGCCATTCATTTTTTTATATCTTTGGGACAGCTGGTCTTGTTTGGTTTATATGTTGGTGGTTTATAGTAAAAGATAGACCAGAAGATGACAGATTTATTTCCAAAGCGGAATTAGAATATATTAAATCCAGTTTGGACAACGATGAAAAGAAAAAGGTACATTTTTTATCTTTTCTTTATTGAAAGAAGAATATTTTCTTGTTGATAAAAAAATAGTCAATATATTCATACATACGCAACATAGATGTTACAACACTAAAAGGACCGAGAAAGTCAATTTGGCTTCTCAAATTTAAATTGCTATAACTTTTCTTGACTTTGCTTCTATGATATTCTTTTGCAACTTTTCGTCATTTTTCGTCATGTTCTTAATTTTGATAAAAAAATTTTTCAATTATATAAGATTTTTTTATTTATTAAACATACAACTAATCAAAACTGATTATTTAATAATTCTTCTCCGATAACGTTGTAGAATGAGGGTTTGAAAGATTGCCCATTGATAATTCTTTCTTTTCTATCTTAATGAAACAGATTATGTGGTTTTGTTCTTTTTTGCCTTCAAATTTCAAGTATTTATATAATATCTAAAAATCTTTTAGCTTCTATATTCTTATGTTGCTCAAGCCTATCCTTGTATTTTATGTGTTTATATTTCCTCGGTGACAGACGGAATTTTCATGAATTTTCATCTTTATGAATGTCATCATTACGGATGAATCACGGATCTCGAAGAATATCTCCTAGCATAGGAATAGTTCCTTTATTCTGAAAACCTTGGATAATGTTACTTTTTTTTGTGCAACCTCATAGTTGTATACTGTACAACCAGACTGGTTTAAGAATTTGTATAATAATAATTTATTATGTACGAATAGCTCTAAGTTTCTTCCAAGTTAAAACGGACCGCCTTTTCGCTGGCGAGTGGTTAAGTTTTATATACGCGGATACGCTCGTCGGTTTGTCCGGGTTTGGGATGCAAAAGACGGCAAGGCGAATCTAGTATTCTCATTATTAATTATTTATTTGAGTAAATAATTCAGATAACAATTTTAGATGATCAATCGTGATGATAACGATTGCAGCGTATTTTACAAAAAAAAAAACAAAGACAGTTAGTGCGAATCTTTGTGGGTTAGCAATGCGCAGCGAGTTTGTGCGTGACGCCAGAATTACGATGATTTATTACGCGAATATTTACAGCGGAGATTTATATGATTATTTACAGCGGAGATTTACGCAATTGTTTACAGCAGTGATTTACAATAAGTTTATACGGATGCGGCTATTTTACAGCGGAGTGGACGCGATTATTTACAGCGGGCGCGGTCGGAAATCGGAATGTCGCGAGCGTGGTTGAGTATCGAAACGTCGCGAGCGCGGTTGAATTGAAGCGTCATAAGCGCGGATCGCGGGTTGATTCCCGGAGGAAAGGACGCCATTCACGGCAGCGAGCGCACCGGCGTATTCGGCCACGGGACACAACGGCCAGAAACATCTGGCGTGGCGATTGCCGTTCGTTGTGTTAAATCGGGTGACGGAGGAAATACTTGACTGGTGCCAGTAATTCCTGGCTGAGACAGCGAACATGCTCGAGTGTCTCTGGCAGCGGATTCGGCGGATCGGATAGGAAACAAAGATCGGCTCTGACCAGTAACTCCTGGCTGGGATTGCGTGCTCACAACATCGGTGGATTCTCTGCTAGGATCGGAGTCGGTTTCACTGCGAGCCCAACGAATGATTCCAAGAATCTGTTCTTATTTCGATTGGATCGGATTTTTTAGGTGTACAAAAAAGTTCTGAGCTTTAGATTTCATACAACCGAAATAACAATTTAAATTTTATATATCTTCCCGCCCTTTTGCGGTTTTAAAGCGTTGACATTTGGCCTTCTAAAATGCCATACGGTTTAGCATTTGATGCACATAACCTCAAAAATCAGTAGTGTTCACGATGGCAATAACAAAAGAGCATATTCGATTTTCCATCCACTTCGTGTTTCATCTGAAGAAAAATGCTGCTGAAGCCACTGCAATGATTTGTGCTACATATGGAGAGAACGCTGTAAGTCATACATGTAAAAGATGGTATCAAAAATTTTGCCAAGGAGATTTCAGTCTTGAAGATGAACCGCGTGCTGGACGCCCTCAAAAGATTGAAACGGACGAATTGCAAGCACTGCTGGATATAAACCTTGCACAAACTGAAAAGGAGCTTGCAGAACAGCTTGGCGTTACGCAGCAAACTATTTCCGTACGTTTACATACGATGAGAAAGGTTCAGAAGGAAGGAAGATGGGTTCCGCATGAATTGTCCGAAGACAACAAAAATCGTCGGCGTGACTGCACTCACTTTGCTTTCAAAGTTCCGGAAAAAAGATTTTCTGCACAAAATCATTACAGGCGATGAAAAGTGGATTCTTTATGATAACCCTAAACGTAGAAAATCATGGGTTGATCCTGGTCAATCTTCGACATCGACGCCAAAGCCCAATATCCACGCCAAGAAGGTTTTGCTCTGTATCTGGTGGGATTGAAAAGGTGTGTTGTATTACGAGTTGTTACAACCGGGTGAAACAATCACGGCAGACCGCTACCAACGACCAATTTGAGTGATGCATTAGAAGAAAAGAGGCCATTTACTGGCCAAGGATGTCGTAAAGTGATCTTGCTTCATGACAATGCTCAACCACATGTTGCGAAAGCGACTCAGGACCATATCTTTGCGTTAGGCTGGGAACTTCTCTCGCACGCGGCGTATAGCCCAGACATGGCGCCTTCCGATTACTACCTATTCCGGTCGCTGCAGCATCATTTGGCTGATACACATTTCGTGAGATTTGAAGAGATACGAAAATGCATCGATGACTTTATCGCTTCGAAGCCGGTGAGCTTCTATTGTCAAGGAATTCGCAAGCTACCCGAAAGATGGCAAAAGGTCGTTGATGCAAACGGGGAATATTTCGCTGATTAATATTTTTTTGTTTGTTTTTGAATAGAGATTGAATTTTACAAAAAAAAGCTCAGAACTTTTTTGTACACGTAATATATTCCGCGGATTGGTCATTCGGTCGATTTCGGGTAATTTCGGATCGATCCGCGGATATTTTACCTTCCAACTTATTTTATTAAAAATAATAATAAATAAGTTATTTGTTGCTAGTATGACAATACGGGTTCAGGCCTTTCCGGGCTCGCTCGAGTATTTTCGCCGTGCCGCGCTAAATAGCGCATTCCTCGTATGGCCCGTAGGCCGTAATCTTAATATCTCGATTATCTAAACATTTATTGGTGCTTTTACGCCTTTAAAACTGACGGACCGTTGGTTGGTTTTCATCCGGAGAGTGGAATCGGAACGATGCTGTGCATCGTTACAAATGTATTGGTTACTATCGCCACCAAGGCAAAGTTACTCAGAGTCTTTGACCTTAACAACATATGTCAAAGTCAAAGTCATCCGAGCTGTGTAAATTTTAAATAAGATTTACCCATTTTTCCATATTTAATGTTAAGTTCTTCTTTTTTTTCTTAACATGCGCCTACCATCTCAATTTGGCGTCAAGTGTAATTTCAAGATATTTAGAAGTGTTTCAATTGAATACGCCATGTTTTCGTTCCAATTGTTTATCTTATCCACAACTCTCTGTAGTTTATTAGTTGTTTCTGTAATGTTTTCGCCAACAGCCATTATTGCAATATCATCTATATATGTAGCTAGCGTACCAAAAATCTTCAGAATATTGCTAGTATACAATAAATATAAAGTCGGTCCATACTGCCTTCCGGCACTCCTGCTTGTATATACATTAATTTAGTACTTATATTCATGTATTTCATTCTAAAACTTCTTTTTGAAATATAGGACTTCAAGATTTCACTCATCTGTGCTGGTAAAAGCTCAAACTTATGCATCAGGCCTTGATGCCAAACTTTATCAAATGCCTGTACAATATCAAAGAATATAGTTCCGTATATTTTTTTTCTTCGAGTGCCTTCTCTATTATGTTAATAATGCGATGCATTTGGTCAATTGTTCAATACTTACCTCGAAAACTGAATTAATGATTAGGAATCAATTACCTTTCTTCAATAATTTCTTCAAATTGTTTTAATAATAGTTTTTCAAATATTTTTGATATTAAATGAAACAATGAAATAGGTCTGCATGACTTTTTGTCATTTAGTGATACCAAATTCGGGTATCATGATAACTTCCGCCACTTTCCATTGCATTACATACGGAACATATCATAGATGCGTTTATCAGATATATTAAGTTGACAATTCCTTTTCTGGGCAAATCTTTAAATATTTACCCAGTTATTAAGGTTTTATACCTAGGTGCCTTGAGTAGTGAAGCTTGTTTTTTATTGTTCTTGCTAGTTCTAAAGGTGTAACCACTTTTAATGATATGTTATAGTTGTTTTCTGACATTGAAAAATCCACGCAGCCAGTTTGTCCATAGTTGAAAGATTAAAGTTAGATGATCAGCAAATAGTTCAGCTTTCTGCTTTCCCTTTTTGGCCCAAAATCCATCATTTTTTTTAATAGGAAATATTAATATAATGTGAGCGAGCGTGGTATAGTAGACAGCACATTGATCTACTATGCCAGAGATCGCGGATTTGAGTCTCGGCAAGAGCCAAAATATTTACGCTCGTTTCCTCTCGGCAGGCAATGGCAAACCATCGAGAACAACTTTGCCATGAGCATCTCTCTATCAAAAATTTGCCGTTCAGAACCGGCGTTAAACTGTATATCCCATATATCTCTGTATAATCATCGTGCACACAGATATATATGAAAGAGAGATCACCATACTCGGACACGAGCAATAAGAAGGCGAGGTATTGGTGTATTTTGTGGGTCCTTTTTTATATTTGTTTTATTGTTCCTTTCTTCTTTGAAATTCTTTTGCAACCTTGCATCCCCGATAGCTAACTGGATGATCACTTCCACAGTTTTGGTATATTCTGTCTGGTTTTTTTATATTCTTTCGTAAAATGTTTTTTGGTATATGTAACGCATATTAGTACTTTGTAGCAAAATCCTTTTGTATACCTAAAGCCTTGATATCTTTTACATTGAGGTATCATAATTAATCTTCTCACTAGCTTGATTTTGGTATTTTCTAATTCCATGATCCTGTTTGTAGCT